CAGAGAGCATTAGTCAGTATACTCTCACACTGAACAACATTCCTTTGCATGGATAAACTTCATGTATCTATTCTTTTGTTGATCACCTGGAAAGCAACTTGAATTGTCCTAAAGCTGAGAATGCACATATCTTATAGCCCAGAAATTTCATTAGAAATATATAGAAATGCCTTTACAGCAGAATTTTATGAGCATTATCCTTAATTATATTATAGTTTGTAATTAAGCTTTAATAATTACATATTACTGTTGTAACCAACAGGATCAATAGTGTAAATAAGAGGGTTGAGAGATGCCCTGCAGATTGAAAAGGATTATTAGTTTGATGTTATCTAACTTATTTAGCCTTCAAAATTCAATTAATTTTTTTTAGTACTCTTCAGGTATCAAAGACTGTTCTATTTGTAGGGAATAAAGCAGTGAATAAAACAGAAGTGACTGCTATTATGGGGCCTTCATTCCATTACAGGATATAGACATTAAATACATAAATAAGCAACATTCTATGAGGTAGTGTAGTTCTATAGATAAATATAAGGCAAAATAAAAGAGTGGAAAATAAAGGGGTTTCTCGTTAGAATGGCATAGATAAGAAAGATCTCTCTGTAGAGGTGGCATTTGAATAGAACCTCAATGAAGCCTTGGAAGAGCTTATGTGTTTATCTCAAAGAACAGTTCTAGCCAAAGATTATAAGGTTCGAGTATACTTTTATTGATTAGAAAAAATAAGGATATTTTGTAGGTAAATGGAAGTAGTAAGAGAAAGAAGGATCAGACATAATGTTGGAAAGTTAGGCCAAGCCCAGATTGCAAAGGGTTTTGTAGGCATTTCTGGACTTTGCCATTTATTCTGGGTGTGAATGAAAGGTTACCACTTGAGGTTTCACATATTTTGTGTTTCAAAAACATATTGATTTGTATGTGGAAAAAAACCTGTAGCAGGGCAAGAGTGAAAGCAGCTTGGATAGGCATGACTGTCATTAGATGAGAGAAGAAGGGGCTTGAGATACATGTTAGCAGTGGAGCTGGTAAGAAATGATCAGATAAGGGATATATTTTGAAAGCAAAGCCAAAGGGTTTGTTTATAGATTGCTTGTAAATATCTTAGAAGGAGAAGTCAAGAGGAACTCCACTTTCTTTTAGCCTGAGCAAGTAGTTAAAGATGATATCACATGTAGGGATGGAGAACAATGAAATAGGGGCAGGTTAAGGAAGAAAACTCAAGTGTTTGTTCTGAACATACATCTTAGGTATAGGTATTTATTAGACAGATGTCCAATTGGATTGAGCTGTCACATAAATATTAGGTAAGTTAGTCTGGAGTTCAGAGTAGACCCTAGGGATGGAGATTTTTAGTGAATGGGATTAGATGAGATCACCTAAATGGTTAGTATAGACAAAGAAGAAAAAGAGACACAAAAAGCGAGCCTCACTGTAACTGATTGGTTGCAATAAAGATCTCAGATCCTATCCCTTCTCCTACACGCAGTCTTTACCATGTCCTTTGCTGGGCCCTTCCATTCTAACTCTTGGCTTGACATAGCCAAGGTGACACAAACAGAGGGTTGTACATTTCTGCTCATCATCATTATACTCCACCCTTACCAGGAGAAGATATGCCTGGGCTAGCCCCTCTGATCCCAGAAGGGAGAAGGTAGATAGATACAGGGTCAACACACAGGTGCATGACTGAGCCCAGGTGAGTGCAGTCTTACAGATCAACTACACCCCACGGTTAAGTGAAATATAAGTGATTGACTCTGAGTTTTAGAATTTTGTTCAATGAGCATTATTGTGGCAATATATAACTGATAGTTGTGGAGAACTGCAGTATTTCGAGATCTGGACAAGGAGAAAGATTCACAAAGGATGCTGAAGAAACCACCTTGGGGAAAACCAAGACAAGACAAATAGGGTCCAGAAACCCAGGAGGTGAAAATGTTTCAAGAAGAGGGAAGTGATCAACTGTGACAAATTCTACTAAGAGTTTATGTAAGATGAAGGCTAAGGATGGATTATTTGGCAAAAGGATTTTATCGCCTTCATTAAAAGCGTGGAAAGAGCCTAATTTGAGTAAACTCCAGTGAAAAGGGTAGATGAGCAAGTTAAGATAATTATGAAGTGATTTTTGCTCTGAAGGGCAATGGAGAAATGGGCTCATGCTTGAAAGGGAATGAGAGTCCACAAAAACTTTGGTTTTAGATGATTCTATTATTGACCGTTAATATGTAGATAGGAATCAGCTAATACAAGGAGGGAATAAAGATGACACAGAAGAAAACAGAGACAATTGTTATAGAATAACCAATACCTTGAGTAGGTAAACTGGAATAAAATCCAATGAGCAGGAGATACGCTTACCATTAGGTAGGAGAAAGAGCAATTCACCCATAGCTGCAGCTCTGAAGGCAAAATATAGAGGGGTTAAATGAAGGTATGTTGGTAGACTCACCAGTAAAATGGTACTGTTTCTTGCAGAGTGCTTATTTTTGTAATTAAT